TTTTTCCTTATAACATGCAATGTGAATCAAATTCACAGAAAAGATCTCGTGAAAATGAGGAGGCTATAGATCAAGAACCTATAAATGAACAACCTAGACGCAGTAAGAGGTCTAGGACGTCAACTTTCTTTGGGCCTGACTTTCTAACATATTTGTTAGAAAATGAACCTCAAAACTTTAAAGAAACTATGTCATCGACTGAAGCTTCATCTTGGAAAGAAGCTGTTAATAATGAAATTAAATCCATACTACAAAATTATACATGGGAATTAGTAGACCTTCCTCCCGGTAATAAGTCATTGGGATGTAAATGAATTTTTAAAAGGAAAATGAAAGCAGATGGATCAATTGTTAAATATAAGGCTAGACTTGTCGCTAAAGGCTACAAGCAAAAAGAAGGTATTGATTATTTCGATACGTATTCTTTTGTGACAATAATCACTTCCATACGTATGCTTATTGCGATAGCAGCATTGAAAGGTTTGGATATACATCAAATGAATGTTAAAACAGTTTTCCTGAATGGAGAGTTAGATGAAGAAATTTATATGGAGCAACCTGAAGATTTGTTGCCCCAAGACAAGAAAAGAAAGTGTGTCGACTTGTAAAATCATTTTATGGATTAAAGTAAGCTCCTTAAAAATGGCATGAAAAATTTGACACAGTTATGATGTCAAATGGTTTCAAAATTAACGAATGTGACAAATGTGTTTATGTCAAGAGCACTCAAAATTGATATGTCATGGTATGTTTATATGTAGATGACATGTTAATTATGAGCAACAATGATACCATAATTCAATCTACTAAAAGGATGCTAACAAACAAATTTGAAATGAAGGATTTAGGTGTGGCTGATGTTATATTAGGAATTAAAATCTCTAGAACATCCAATGGTATCATATTGTCTCAATCACACTACATTGAGAAGATTCTTGATAAATTCAAGAAATATGATATTATTCCTATAAAAACATTTATAGATGCCAATATGCATCTTGTTTCCAATACTGGTGACTGTAAGTTTCAATTGGAATACTCTCGAATTATTGGTAGTTTAATGTATATCGTGAACTGTACTCGACCTGATATTGCTTACTCAATTAGTAAGCTAAGTCGATATACAAGCAATCAAAGCGCTGATCACTGGAAGACAATTATTAGGGTTTTAGGGTATTTAAAACATACCAAAAACTTTGGATTGAACTATTCGAGATATCCAGCAGTACTCGAAGGATACTGTGATGCAAATTGGATATCAGATACTAAAGACTCCAAGTCAACAAGTGGATATGTCTTTACACTTGGAGGTGCTACAGTATCATGGAAATCTGAATTTACCGCGTTAGATAAAGCTGGAGAAGAAGCCAAATGACTATGAAACTTTCTAGAAGATATTCCATGTTGGATAAAATCCGTGCCTACTATGTGTATCAATTGCGATAGTCAATCAGCAATTGGTAGGGCACATAATATTATGTATAACGGTAAATCTCGATATATACGTCGTAGACACAATATCGTTCGACAACTGCTCTCTACTGGCATTATCACTATCGATTATGTGAAATCAAAAGAGAATATTGCGGATCCGCTAATTAAAAGTTTAACAAGAGAGCAAGTTGAAAGTTCATCGAAGGGGATAAGATTAAAATCGATAAAATAATCAAAAGTTTTCATGGTGGCAACCCAACCTAATTGACTGGAGATCCCAAGATCTAGGTTCAATGGGACAATCGAACTGTTAAAAACTTAGCAAGCACTGGGGAGATTATCACTCCTACCCATTCCTATGATGAGCCAGTGCCTAACTGCCGCGAAATAGGTTAAGTTATGCTTTTAATGGTTTCCATATCTTGATTCGTTCAAGTGGAGTATATCAGGATACTCTTTATGAAAATCACCTATATTGGTGAGAAGGGGCCGCTTCTAAGAGAATTAGATAAAGATGAATTCTCTAAAAAACACTCATGAACCAGGAGGTGTCCGAGGCCAAAATGGACACAAACGTGAGAACCAACTGTGTTCGAAGAGAACTGTGTGACTTCTATTGTCTAGGTTTACATGAACGGCTGACTGTTCAAAGCAACTTGCTACTGATTGGCTAAGTAAATTCGATAGATTTTACTAGGAAAAGTTCAAAGTCTTTGACTACTTATCTTGATGTAGTTTTCTTCAATTTTCTTTAGAAAAACATATCAGATGTTGTTGTTTGGAAAAGACCAACATATTTCATTCATGTGGGGGATTGTTAGAAAAATGGTATGAAATGGGTCAACTTTCCCAAATTTCAGTGGGACCTTAATACGGGATCTAGCATATTCACGCTCTACTTCGCAAGGTGATGAACGTGGTATATTTATTTATCGAAAATCATTTAGAATTGAATGAAATATTTAATGTCAAATTAACTCACTTGAAACTATGAATTAGTGAAGACTTTGATTTGCCCAAACACTTATCCCACATTGGAAAGTTATGAAACTTTGGTGTGATTTATGGGTCCCAAGGGGTATCAATAGTCTTTGGAAGGGGGAAGACCTATATCCTATCAGGTTCGGTCATAAGCCCACACGAGTGTGCCGCCGTCTGTCCAACCAGCTTGTTGGCTCGGCACGGCATGAGCCCGTGTCCAAGTCGGTGTGGATGTGTCCTTGCACTATATTAATTTTTTGGACCAAATTTATTTGAATTTTTGGACCAAATTGTATACAATCAAATTCTTGGGTACTTAATAAAATTTATTTTTTTCATTGGTTTTTTCCGAGTAATTTTTGGTTTGGATGGTCTGTTAAATGGTCAACTGTTAACCGACCAAACAGTCAACGGTTAATCGTCGACCACTAACCAACTTAACAGACGCAGTATTGAACTAACATGTCTGTTGGAGTTTTGGAAGTTGTATGAACAATGACGACTATTCTGGATGATGTTCGAATGTCCACGAACAAGTCTATAAATAGTCTGCCTCGCTGCCAGAAAAATTACACCATTTTTATTGCAAATATTCTCTGTTTTGAATCTTATTCTCCGTCTCGTTCTGATATTGTTTTCGAAGTAAAAACACTTCCTTGCGTTCGTTGGAACTCCTACAGATTATTGTGCTACTTCCGTAGGAGACGAAATTCGTTCTATCTTGAAAAATGATTGTTGGACAGCTTTAGCACCGTTGAAGGTAGCAAATTCGTTTTAAGGAAACATTGTGAAATCGGTGGGCTCGAATTTAAATTTCTATAGTACTGTTACGATAATTCTTTCGGATTGTTTTGAAAGGGGAACTTATACTCCAGGATTGACAAATAAGGGCATTCCTTTTATCCTGTATCGATTGACTTGCTCTAATGCCTGGAGCCAAATCGACGTTTATTTGTTCATGCACACACAATGTCATTAACATAATCAATAATATCATTCTATTAAATCGAATAAATATATTGTTTTATTATTTAACTTACTAAGAAGTCACATATAGATAAATAGTTCATTAGAACGAAAACATTTTTAAGATAGACAAGTGCTTTGCATTTAAATTTCATAATTTGGTGTTGAACGTATTTGTTACATAATACTAAACTAAAATATATATTTTTTAACTTTTAAAAGTGCTGCAGCGCCGTGTTGTGTAATTAAATTAAATAATTAATAGGCAGTTTGGAACGGGTCTTCCTCGTTTATTTCAAAGGAATCAATCCCAAGTCAACTACTAAATTAATTTTAATTTGTGATTAGAAAGCCTTCATTTAATCAATCCATTCTTTGTGAAACTTTAACTAAACAAATCGAATTACTTAGGATTTAATTTTACGTCACCGAATTTTCGGACTATAACCCGTTGAAAATGACTCTTCAATTTGTCGATTAATAATTATTTACAAACCCAAGTTTCTTGAGTTCACATCTTCATTGAAAAGTAAAGATTCTTGCCATATTATCAGCACACAGGTTTAGAGTTTCAAAGAATATAATATTCTCTTACCCTTGTTTTTTAGTTTCATTTAAAAATTACATTTCTTTTGCACTTAATTTTCAACCACACATTTAAAATATATATATATATAATTTCATTTTTACCGCACATTCTTCAGAAAAAATCATTTTCAACGTTTTTCATAACTTTTCTTCTTTTTCAAACATTCTTAAAGTAAATTTAATTTTTAAATAATCTTTGCCACGCGAGGGCTTACTATCAATAAAATTATACTTTTCAAGAAACGAATGTTGGAGAAGTATACTTGTCCGTACTATATATGTCTAAAATTAATGTTTGACTTTAAAAATTAAAATTTTAACAAAAGAAAACGAAATCCAAACTGAGGCAACCCCACCACCAACATTGAGAAATATATTGTTAACATTCAGCCACATATTTTGAGTTAAACTTGCATTATTTTGATTAATATAAATTATTTATCAATAAAAAAAATTATAAAATATACAATACACAATTTATAGAGAGCCAAGAGAGGAGATTAAGACCTAACGCAAGTAGTAAAAGAGTAGGTACAGAGCATAAAAGCCCCCAGGGCACATCTCTAAATGGTAAAAAGGGAGGGTTGAGAAATCCAACTTTGCTTGAGGCAGTCGCGTCAAGGGTTCGAATCCTGAAATATGGATTTGACTCTTGGGTAAGTGCAAATGTACAAGCAGCCTTCCACCCTGTACTCTTGGAGGCATAACCTGTGATTTACCTCCCTCACGATGACACAGGACAAGGGCGATGGGGACCCTTAAAGTTGGGATTCAACCTTTTTTTTGGTACAGAGCATAAAAGAAAAATGATGACCAAATCGGAAAGAGGAGTTTTTTTTTTTTTTTCCCCATAAAAGAAGAAACGTGAAAGCAGGAAAAACAGGAAAGTAGAGAGAGAAAGTGGGGGTAAAAGGTGACCTCTTTTACAATACACATACATTCTACATCACTGTGATCTTATGTACTACTGCTAGACAAAGCGAAACACGTGAAATCATAGTACATATATGAATACATATACACACATTAATGACATTAATACCATTCTCGAATATGTAATGAATGTCTGTCGTGAAAAGCCTGTACTGTTCAGGATATAAATACTATTCTCGGATCCACAAAATCCACTTCTCCTTCTCATTTCACACATAAAAATTGCTTCTTGTTCAGTGCTAATACTAAAAGCTCTTTGCATCATTTGTGTTTTCTCATTAAAAAAAAAAATAAAAAAATTCTGATTCTTTAACACTTGAAAATCATCGCTAAATGGGTGCGCGTTGCTCAAAATTTTCCTTCTGCTGGTGGCATTCTCACCTTAAACCCTCCGTTCTTCAGTCTTCTGATCTGGGTCAGTAGATATATGCCTTATGGGTACCTATTTGCAATTTTATTTTTTTTTATGGGTTTTTGTTTTAAGAATTTTGTGCAATGATTTGCAGAGAATGGGGAGAAAAATGCATTGCCAAGCTTTACGGAGTTCAGCTGGGAAGAATTGAAAAATGCAACAAATGGGTTTTCTTCAGAGAATATTGTATCAGAACACGGAGAGAAGGCCCCAAATGTAGTTTACAAAGGCTTGCTTGAGAATGATCGCTGGATTGCTGTTAAGCGCTTCAACAAATCTGCTTGGCCTGATTCTCGCCAATTCATTGTTAGTGATTATTAATCAATTTTTTGTGCATCCTTTCTAGTTTATTTTTTGTTTTTGCAATTTTTTTGGATTAATCCCAAGGCTACATAGGGGAAAGTTATATTCTGAGCATTTTTGGAACGTTTGTTATTAAGAATCAAGATTTAACTTTTGTGCTTAACTTGCAATCACGAGGGAAAGTTTTTGTTTACTGTTTATGTTATTTTGTGATGGGTTATTGTAGGATGAAGCCCGCACTGTGGGAAATCTGAGGAGTGAGCGCTTGGCGAATCTGATAGGATGTTGCTACGAAGGGGATGAGAGATTGTTGGTGGCAGAATTCATGCCTAATGAGACACTTGCAAAGCATTTATTTCATTGTGAGTACGTACTTTATACAGCTTCGAGTCTTGGTGGGTGATAATGCTCAATCTTATGCCGGGAAAGAATTGATGGCAATCTTAAAACAAAAATGTTGTGAATTCACATAGATAATGTATATTTTTCTATTTGATTTGCATTTATAATAACTGTTTGAAGTTGGCTGAGGATGGAATCAGGGATTGAAAAGCAAAATGCTTGCTCATCGATCTAATATCAGGCTTTTCATTGTTGTTGATAAATTTAAAGCTTTGGTAAAAAGAATATTAAAGCTCGTTGATTCTGCATATGGTATTAATGATTTTTATGATTATTATATAAGGTCGTGATGCAGCCTTTAATATTAATGATTTTTTTAATTTTTCAGCAAATTTTGCTCATATTTCTTGTGCCAAACTGTTTTGGCATGCCATGGATTATTTTTCTGATGTTTAATGGTTGAATTGGGATAGGGGAGAACCAGCCCATGAAGTGGGCAATGAGGTTGAGGGTGGCTTTGTATTTGGCCCAAGCTCTGGAGTACTGCAGTAGTAAGGGACGGGCATTGTATCATGATCTTAATGCTTACAGAGTCTTGTTCGATAAGGTAAAATGTGCTACGTGTATGTTTTATTTTTACCTTCTAAAAGATTGGTTATTGTCTTGCTCTTATATAGAGTTACTCATATACAGGATGGTAATCCCAGGCTCTCTTGCTTTGGCTTGATGAAGAACAGTAGAGATGGCAAAAGTTATAGCACAAACCTAGCTTTCACTCCACCTGAGTACTTGAGAACTGGTATGTATCCAGACAGCATACACAGTACCACATGCAAGACTTTAGCTTGTTTTCTTGCTTAATCCTATCCATTGAGGTCCAATCCAACACATCAAACATGCCATAAATATATGTTTATGTTGAAATTATAATATGCCTTTTGAAGATCTCAAATCCCTGCGATCTTGAGCTTGAAGGCTTAAGATATCATATGTCACCCTTCCCTATGTTAGGGCCTATGCTGCTAGAACTCAAGTACAGGTATATATTTTGGAGTTGGATCATTTCTTCTAAAATTTAGGATACATGATATGGCTAAAAATATCCAAAATTTGGTTATGGGTACGACGGTACATCTCACAAACATAAATATTTTTGGGGAATGTAGCATTAAATGATCCTGGTTTCTTGCCTCCAAAGTCTTGGTTTTATTCCTTAAAATCGATTTTATTGCCTTAAAAACCATGGACCCACTCTTTCTTACTCTGCAACTTCTGCTTCCTCCCATGGCAATCTCTCTTCCATGTTTCTGCAATGCCACTTCTAAATTGAAGAATCCGACAGGGATCCATACCCATGAGTACGTCGTCCAAATTGAAGAGTCCGAGCATCATAGGTTAGGACACAACTTGTACGAATTATTGACTTGTTTACTGGTATGGCAGGAAGAGTGACACCAGAAAGCGTAGTTTACAGTTTCGGAACCATGCTTCTTGATCTTTTAAGTGGAAAGCATATACCTCCAAGCCATGTAAGTTCTTGACTGTCTAAAGATCAGATTTGTTGAATCTATCTCTATCTTGGTTGATTTTTACTTTCCCTGACTGTAAATTTTAACTGGTCAAATTATTTAATGAGCTGTAAGATAGTAAAAATATGCAAGATATGAAGGAATTGTGTTATCATGTCTATTCATAACATTAAAGGTAATATTCAAGATTGTACGAATTATAGAGATAAGCTCATGACATACAATGAAATTATTCAGGGATTTATTCAACATAGATTAATGTGTAATCCAAAGTCTTGGAAGACCTATTCGGTTTGTTTGTTGTTGTCATTACCTGCATTAGATACTATAGTTTGCAATTGGCAATATTTATTTGGATCTTTTGCTGTTTGTTAAGAGAACTTTTCTGCTGGATGGCATTCTTTTAAGCACCACTTCTCATGGCAAGTTTGATTAATTATACACTGTCTTCTTACAGGCACTTGATCTCATTCGTGGCAAGAATTTTCTGATGCTCATGGATTCTTGTTTAGAGGGCCATTTTTCAAATGATGATGGAACCGATTTGGTGCGCTTGGCTACCCGTTGTTTGCAATATGAAGCACGAGAAAGGCCCAATGCTAAGTCTCTAGTCACTTCTCTCATATCTCTTCAGAAAGAAAACGAGGTATGGACTATGGAGAAGTCATTTAAGTCATCTTTGCTTGTGGGACAATTGTTTGCAAACATCTAAGAAATTATAAAAAATATTCACAACCCATTTCTGGTTAATTTCTTATAGAATATTTTCTGTCCGGGTGCAGATCTTGTTGCTTGGACTATTGATGGATTTCCACTTCAAATCTTTCATAACTAGATTCTTGTTATCCTGCAATTTTCTATCCTTTTTTTAATCTGTGAATTTCATCTGTACAATTAAAAGGAAGTTACATCTATGGACTATGATTATTTTTCATCTTTTTGTTTCTTTATTTCCTGAGATTAGACAATGAAATTTTATCACTAATCAATTATAAAATATCAGAAAATATTAAGGGCACGCACTACAAACTGTGGTGGCTCATCCATCCACACTTGACAAATCTCTATATGGCAGAAGTTTGTTAATCCTTTAGACCTGAAGCCTACTTTCTCGTTGATCTGTCAATCAGGTCCCTTCACATGTTTTACTCGGCATTCGACATGGAAATGCGAACTCCACTCAGCCACTGTTGTTGACACCTATGGGTGAAACATGCTTGAGAATGGATCTTACAGCCATACACGAAATATTGGAAAAAACTGGTTACAAAGACGATGAAGGGATCGCCAATGAGGTTTGCATCTTCCAATTTATTGTTTTGCCTTGTCAACTTCTGAATTAATGCTACTCATAAGTTGTTATCTCTCTTTTAGTAATTCAGTGATTCCTATGCACATCTGCACAGACTTCTATTTTATTTATAATTTCTGATATTCTGTACTTCTGCAATTTGACTATGTTTTACAAATTGTGCAGAAAAGTTGAACCAAATTATAGAGCGAAGAACTAAATTCTAACGAGTCATTCAAATCTTTCTTGCTGTTTGAATTAAGTCTTTTTGCTTAGGATGAGATTAAGTTCGTGCTACTTTGCTTTTTATAGCTACTCCAATCAGGAATTCTGTCTAAAGAAGTCAATAGTCATGTCTAGTTCACATGTTCTTACTTATGATAACATGTTAGGAGTGTGGTGGCCGCCAGGTAGAAAATGAGGGGTGAACCTTTGATGAAAATGAATCCAGGCTACACATAAGAGGGGCCGGGTTTTAGACTAAATTTAAATAAAATAAATGTGTCCTGTCTCCAAGAGATTTAGCTTTTTAGCTAAGGCATTTCAATAATCCTCGCAGTTATTAGGAGCACTAGCAGAACACTAGCAAAGGGAGTTTCTTTTCCTTCCGAAATGCTATTCTTCATTTTGCTTTTTATTGTACAGATTTTTTTTCACCAATAATCATCATACTAAAATTTTTGAAGGAATTTGTCCCTGCAGCTATCTTTTCAAATGTGGACAAATCAAATGCAGGAGACCTTGAATTCTAAGAAGCATGGAGATACTGCTTTTCGAGCCAAAGATTTCACTACTGCAATTGATTGCTATACGCAGGTAAAAGCCCTTTGTCTGCATTGGCCTCTCATTTGAATTGTTCAGATCACTAGAATGAGTTATCTCTGCTAGAGATGACAAAATTTGGTAGCCTCCATAAATTGATAAATCAGGTATCTTATTTTGATAAATTAGTTTGGTGAAGCCATCAAAATCTATTTTTGCTGAAAAACCTTGAAATGCAAAATTTGCTACATAATTCTTATGAAACAAGAAACTATACTCAACATACATATTGTTTGAGCAGACATGCATATCAAATTCCATGGCAACACTATCATGATAAAGTATTTCTCCATTTTATCTTGGATGATCAAGAAATGAATGCACATCTAATTTCAGACAATTTGTTAACAAATCGTTGTTGTTTATGTAGTTCATTGATGGTGGGACCATGGTATCACCTACTGTCTATGCTCGGCGGTGCTTGTCTTATTTGATGAGTGACATGCCTAATGAAGCTCTGGGGGATGCTATGCAAGCACAGGGTATATCTCCTGAGTGGCCTACTGCTTTTTACCTTCAAGCAGCTTCCCTCTTTAGCCTTGGGATGGAAAATGATGCTCAAGAATCACTTAAAGAAGCCACAAATATGGAAGCCAAAAGGAACAAAAATTGAAAGTGTATAGTTTCTCCTTTTTAGAATTTAATTTTCATGTATTTAACCTTTTAAATTCCCCATGTCAAACATCAAAGGATTATTTAAAATTGATTGCTTAATTTTGTTGTTTTTTGTAAACTTCAGCTCTCTCAATTTAAGTTGTTTCTGTGAAAGGATAGCTAATTTGTATTCCTCAATTCTCATGTTTTTCTGTTCTCTTTTTTCCCCTCCATACTATTATCTCTCTGATCTTGTATGTTTACACTGGAAAATAAAAAATAAAAAAAATGACAAATTAATTGTTGTAAGTTCTTCATTGATCTTTTGAAAAATTCCCATTGAGCTCATCCTTGTAATTGAATCCGACTGCGTAAATCCTTCATATTAAAATTGTGACCATTTTACAATAGCTATCGCTTACCATGATCCTTTCCTTTAGCCAAAATGAATAACCATTACTATGTAACCGAGGTGGAATTGAGATTTTGCAAATTTCATTCCAACGTCGTACTATGAAAACCACTCAACAAAACGACTTAGTCACATGGGATGGGCCCTGCAAATTTATCTTGGTTCATAACCATGTAGCAAATTGCAATAATTATGAATCCCATCAAGTATGAAAAGATAATTGTTGTTTTCGGTGGAAACAGCACCAGATCTTTTTCAAATGCTAGTGATGAGATTTGCCTCGAATGCGACAATTATAATCATAAATAATTCTTATATTTTGGACAATTGATCATTTGACACAAGTCAATAAAATAATACGTGTAAAATGGTTGAAAGAAATTACGAACAGGCTTAAGATTTAAGAGTGCGAGTTACCTGCCGGCTTTCATATATTTTTAGATTCACATGACACAGTAGGTTGTGCAGAGAAGAGCTCGATCGTCTCGAGACAATTTCATCACCCGAAAGGAAGTTGATTTCATCGAAATTTGAATATGATATATTCTTTTCCACATATATAAAAATCGATCGTCATCCCCTCATTGAACAGAGTTAAAATCACCCACTCAATATAAAGTTACGTAGCATAAGAGTCAAATTGTCTTTGAATCTCCAAAATGAATAACCATTACTATGTAACCGAGGTGGAATTGAGATTTTGCAAATTTCAATCCAACGTCGTACTATGAAAACCACTCAACAAAACGACCTAGTCACATGGGATGAGCCCTGCAAATTTATCTTGGTTCATAACCATGTAGCAAATTGCAATAATTATGAATCCCATCAAGTATGAAAAGATAATTGTTGTTTTCGGTGGAAAAAGCACCAGATCTTTTTCAAATGCTAGTGATGAGATTTGCCTCGAATGCGACAATTATAATCATAAATAATTCCTTATATTTTGGACAATTGATCATTTGACACAAGTCAATAAAAGAATACGCGTAAAATGGTTGAAAGAAATTACGAACAGGCTTAAGATTTAAGAGTGCGAGTTACTTGCCGGCTTTCATATATTTTTAGATTCACATGACACAGTAGGTTGTGCAGAGAAGAGCTCGATCTTCTCGAGACAATTTCATCACCCGAAAGGAAGTTGATTTCTTCGAAATTTGAATCTGATAGATTCTTTTCCACATATATAAAAATCTATCGTCATCCCCTCATTGAACAGAGTTAAAATCACCCACTCAATATAAAGTTACGTAGCATAAGAGTCAAATTGTCTTTGAATCCCGTGTTTTTAATATTAAAAGCACAAACTTCTATGATATATATTCTCCTCTAGAGTAAACACTCTGTTAATTCAGACTGTTCTCAATGTTTTCTATCCACTTAGTTCAGTAGACAATAGTCGACCTAATTGGTTTGGAACGACATCTTGATCAACTCAAATTTTGGTTTCTTCCTAGTTGCTTGTGGATAGTAGCTCTCTAAATGAGTACTCGGCTCTATTTGACTCTCCTTTTTGTATTTGATCTCCACGTTCAATTTAGTCCTTTCCTATCTTTGAGTCGATCGAAAAAAAAAAAAAAAAAAAAAAAAAACCCAAGAAAAAAGAGAGGAAAAAAAAAAAAAAGCCCAAGAACACGGGAAGTGCTTTCGACTAGAATATTGTAGGTATGTGCCATCACATACCTCCGTCACTCTAGATCAAAACCAAATTGGACTTTGATCAAAATTTCCCACCAACTTGACGGATATTGGAGATAGGAATATGATTTTTTGAGAATATGTTTGTTTCTATATATCACTTTATTCCTTATGGACTATTTATACAATATAGCTATATATAACTGTGTGACTATTGTAATTAATTTTATACATTAGAATAACACCATCTTCTTGTAGACATAACAGTTCAGATTCATGCCCCCCAAGGCACATTCGAGTTGGTGGAACAATCACTTCGCTGGGACGCTGGAAGCAAGGGTGGAGAGTTCGATTCCTGGAGTTAACACTGGGAGCCATATGGAGAGGAAGCCATTGGTGTGAACAAACGCCCAGTGAGGAGAGCTCTCTTTGCGGAAAGAGTCCAAATTAGTTGTGGGAACCTGGAAGCCAATAAGGGCACATCCTGGGATTTACCTCCCTGAGCTGCTGAGGGGCCGGAGGTTCAGGGACAAGGATCTAGTCGGACGCAAGCCCGGACACCTTGTAAAAAAAAAAAAAAACAGTTCAGATTCATAAATTAGAAAATAATATAAAATAGCATCAAAAAGCAACTTGCTTTCTGTCCAGTGGTGTCAAGAAGGTCAATTCAAGCCAACCATTACACCTGCACTTGTCAAGTAAACCGGGCTCATTTTGTTACTGGACATACATTCCAATGTTTATCCCATTATAATTAGGCCTGCCCATTAACCTGTGGCTGATACGTTATCCACATTACATTGGTAGTCCTCAACCTTCGTCAATAGCCATGGCTTTCTTTCATATGTAAAAGCAGAAGCTCTCTCTTCCCCTCTCTACACGTTTGTATAAAGACTGGAAGTGCACAAGATGTTGTCAGTTCAATTTCAACAGAGCACGAAGAGCATTTTGGCATCCCCTTCTTTTACTTCCCAAAAGCCCTGTTTTACACCCTGCAAAACCTCATTTATATTGAAACACAGAGCTTCCTCTCTGCATTCATCAACCCATCTTGGCCTCAGAATTAAGAGAATTCAAAGGCTTAATTCTGCGTCTGCCGCTGCCACAGAAGTAGCTCCAGCGGAAACACCCACTGAGGTTTCAGAGTCTGAAGTCGCACAAAGCTCTGAGGTTCGACTCGCTAGACCTATATGCATTTCATTTGAGTTATTGCATATGCATTCAATCAGAGTTTGTACGCATATAATTAATTAACTAACTGCTGAGTGATTAATTTTCAGTTGAACCGCTTGGTTAGTCTACAAACCACCACTCTAAGCAGTCGGATTTTTTATTATTAATGGCATGATGCTTGCGAAATTTTCATACAGTTTTCTACAGAAGGGTATGAAGGGTGCTTACATAGAATATTTATGGAGCCTGTAGATTTGTTATATGAATTCTCATTGATAATGGGTGTTTCTAGTTACTTGCACTTACAAAATTGTAGCCAACTTACTGAGTTAAACGGAGAACTAAACCAAGAAATCTATTTTTTCCATCACCAATCCATTTTATCATCAATCAATATTCACGTCTTTCTTTTGTCTTTGTGATCATTGAATTTACAGAAGCTAGGAGTGGTGGTTAAATCAGTGGAGAAGCCTAGACTGGTATTGAAGTTCATATGGATGGAAAAGAACATAGGTCTTGGCCTGGATCAGATGATTCCTGGCCATGGCACAGTGCCTTTGAGTCCATACTACTTTTGGCCGAGGAAGGATGCATGGGAAGAGCTGAAAACAACTCTAGAGAGTAAGCCATGGATATCCCAGAAGAAAATGATTATACTTCTTAATCAGGCCACTGATATTATCAACCTGTGGCAACAGAGTGGTGGCAATTTGTCCTAGATACCACTGTATTGTCACTTTTTTCGTCTTCAATGTAACATTTTTTTAAGTTGATTTCATACTAGTATCGCACCTACACTTCAAATTTGGGCCCCTATAATTGAACGGAGAATCTGTTTAAACCATGTCCTACTTGTTTAGTTTATTCACATTTTTGAAATTTCAGATAGTTGAGGATAACCACCCACCTTCCTCTAAAGTACCTACTTGAGAGATAACCACCCATCATGAACCCACTCGTAGCTACCTGGATTGGTCTAGTTACCGGTTTTCCAGATGAACTGACCGGTTTAGTCTGATTTCAATAACTATGGGTTAAAGTGTGCTGTGATTGACATATAAATTTTGATATGCCTAAATATTTAGCATCATAGAACAGAAAGTGGGTAAACAAAATTTGTACTACGTTCTTATTATTTGCATATCATTTCATATGATCGTTCTCCTTCTCGTTCCTGAATTGGGGCCTGCGACGGGGGAATGTAGACACTGTCATATTGGGAAATATCATTGCTACTATGGTGGTTTGCTTTGCAGGTGCTCATAAGGAAGGAGCATTCTGGCTACAAAAATTATCTTAAACAAATATTATATGCTCTTTTCAAACATGATTAAGCCACATTGTTTGTTCAAAACTATCTGGATAAATAGAATCTAGAAACCAGAATTAAAATTTCTGGAGTTGATCTGTAGAACGTTGTATTTGAATATTGTTAAGGTGAACAGGTAAGAAGTCTCAATAATGATGCACGTGTGGTTGACCAACTACCTGTTTCAGAAGGAAGATGATATCTCAAGTAGGGTGAAAGTTAATGATGCTCTGTTCCTCTCCTGCAATATAAAAAGTAAAAACTAAGTTCCGCATTTTGTGCTTTCATCCATGTTTTTTTCCTGATGATTTTATTGCACAGTCACCTTTTCGTCCACAGCATACTATACCATTATATGAGCTCACCACTTGGTCATGATTGTACTTCCAAATAAAACTAGCAATTTTACTTCATCTAGCTGTTGTTGAAGTTAATTTATCTTTGCTGATAAGGAAATCTCTTCTAATATACATAGTTTGATATAGTTGAGAGTAATGTTCTTTTCTTATATGGCAGATGTTATTGGGAGTATCGTGCTTTACATTGGGGGGAAAAAATAAATAAAAGAATAAAGTGCCATCCATCAAAACCATTACATAGTTTTCAAGAAATATCATGATGAGAAAAAAGTACTTGCTATTTTCACCAAACTCTCAAAAGTAGTTGCAGTGCTATTATATAGCATCTTCTATAGTTTATATGGTTGTTACAGGTCATATGTTCATCTAGACCTTACAGAGGTTGGTCTGTTATTGATGTTCAAATGCTCTGCATCTAGAGTCCTGACTTCTTCAGTAAAGTGCTTCTGAGAATTTTCAGGCCTGGACTCCATTTTCAATCCAGTTTGAGATCTTAAAAGGAAAACTCTTGTAAGATTAACAATAAGGTTTTTTGCTACCCCCTTCCGAGATATCATCCTTTATAGTGGTATTCATGAAATAAGTCTCTGATCTTGATGTTCTGCTTATATATGCAGTTACATCATCTCTGTCATCAAATACTATCTCCCTCCCCAGTCGACCCTCTTTACCGAAGGATATATTAGTTTCATTGACATCGTCGTCTAATGAGTCAGATCTTGAACCAGATAGCAATACCTTAAATTCTGTTCCATTCTTAGTTACTGTTCTATCTTTCTCTCCGTACTAGAATTGGAACTGTAGTTTTGAATTGGGTGGATTTTCTTGAATCTCAGTTCAACTTTTGCATCCACAATCCGACAACCACTTTCTTCCCCCTAGTAAGAAGTTTAGAGTTCATAGGCTCAATTATTGCCCGGACAATGGGACTGCTACTACCATCAGATTAGTTGATTCAGATTGAGATAGTTCCACAGCAGCCCTCGCGGCTGCTGCTGCATAAGATGCATACTGGAAGGCTTCTTGGGCTGCATCAACTACATCAGTGTACACTGAATCAGATAAAACTTCAACCATTTCCATGACTTCAGGCAGTGTTGGCATATTTTTATCTGGATTACAGACTCCTGATTTGGTCAATGGGTATGGCTTTTGCTGATTCTCTATGCCTGATTCTAGATTTTCCTGAAATTAGCACAATCCAAGTCATCAATAAATGTTCAAAATGTTGGATTTTGTGTAACCTACTCGTACTCTACGCATATGCTTACAAATAATGAACAAAACAAACTTTTTTTATTTCGGGGGTAATATTGAGCACTTCATACTTGTATTGAACCTTCCCAATAAAAATAATGAACAAAACAAACTGAAATGTCGCCAAAATAATATCCATACCACTACAAGGACTGAAGCAGCCTTTTCAATTTGTGGATCAATGTTGTATTCTGAGCCAATCTCCTCAAGTACCTTCATTTTGTTCTCCAAACTTAGCACCCTAGTTGACAACTTCTGTATGATCTATAAAGAAAAGTAATTACCACTCAAATGATCTTATCTTTGACTGTATTAGAATGGAAATAACTTAGTTGCCTGCCTGAGGATTAACTACGCATCCGTGCTGCAATTCAGTAGCTATAGCTGCAAATTCTTTCCCAAATTGCGACGTTAAAATTGCTCGTATCTCTTGAAGTTCTGGGAGTTCCCCGCACCTTATGGCTGCATAAACTAAGCTTGATACAGCTTCTTTCAACTCATCGGGACATACTCTACCAGAAAGAATAATAACCTTCTTAAATATATAAAAACGTTTGAATAGTTGTCAAAAAACCACTAGAAAATCTCAATAGAAACCAACTTTTCTTGTTGTATGAGGTTGGCCCTCTCTTTCAGAAGATGACAATAGCCTTCAATAATAACAAACACATCCAACATATTCTGTTCCATGATCACTTGCTCCACCTATCAAAAAAACCATTTCAAACACGCTAAACAATAAAAACCGAGTTCAAATAAGTTTTTAAGTTCGATTGAGAATAAGTGATTACTCCTGGAGTTAATGAAATTACCCTAAGAAGAGCCCTGTCATGGTTTCCAAGTTTAAGCAACTCAATTACGTCACAACATGCAATAGAGCAGCGTGCTCGGCGCTGGTTCTTGAGGATCGAAATCCGGGCAACGGCGAGCTTGATGGTCGATCTGAATTTGGTGGTTCTGAAGCCTTTTCCAAGAAAAGCACGCAGTTTCTTTCTAATGTCCATACTTCTCAACTGTTCAGAGAAGATTAAGAACCAAAAAAATAGATGTTTGTGAACACAAAATGGATGGATTGGGTCTAAGAATTTGGCTACAAAAGTAGAAACAAAATTTGCTTGTTTGCACCTTCCTTTGATGACTCTGGCCGGAGTGAGACTAACGTGTGTATATGCGTGAATATTAGTAAGTTTTAATACGCTTAGAAAATTGAAAGTTATTTTCTCAAATTGAGTTGACCCTAAGTTTTAAATTTTCTAATCAAACACTGAAAATTATATAACAGATATTAACGTTGTCAAGAAAGTAATGCTAAGATCATAATTGATATGTTGTCGATGAAATTTGGATGATATCAAAGGAGATACAATTTAAACAAAAATGTTATGTCGTCCCATTCAACTCGGTGCACAAAACAGAACCACATATCTGTGGAGTGCTTGCAACTTGTCAAATTGTTGAAATTTATGATGAGAATTTTCTGGGAAACTTATTGAATGAATACAAGTCGTACAAGAAATCTAATTACACCAAATAGTCCATAACAAGACGTCTAGAAGAGTAGGAACTATATATACTGCCATGCCGGGATAAGGGCTGTTTGTTTCGTGTTTTAACTTTTAGTCTTGAGTTTAGTTTTAATTTTCTGTTTTGAGTTTTCATTTTAAGATTGTTAAAAATACGTTTGATTTGTCAATTCTAAAAAATTATCTCTTAAAACAGAAAATTAGAAAACACGTTTGATTTAAAATTTTGAGAAAGTGTATTATTACATTTCATTCTATGAAATTTGATTATTAATTATGTTAATATATGATAAATTGACTCAACAAAATACAAAAAATAAATTTTTTCAAAACTTTAAAAGTCGGTAAATTTTACAATATTTTTTCTTCTACAAAAGTAAAATAAAAACAAATAATAAATCAAGTTAACAGTGTTGGATAAATAATTAGTTGCAGTAATGTTCAGAACAATAAAATGCAGAAATATAAAACTTATCGTCCGATCGAGTCTCGTGACAGCACGATATCCTCAAGTGAAATTGTCCGTCGATAATTGCTGCAACCTCCGTGGACAATCACTCTCAGGATACAACGATCGTAAACCACTTGTGCAGCAATCACGAATGATTTTTCCAGAACTCTCAATTGTACTCCAAAATATATGTAAAAACCCGAGTATAAGAAATTCAGAATATGAAAATGAGGATTGAGGCAAGATGATTTTTCTACTTCCTTTTTGTGTGTATTTTCCCAAAACGAGATATGAGTTTATATAGGCGATGGAAATAACAGTCTCCACCATATTCAGAGAGTAATGCAGAATTTTAATGATTGAGTAGTGGGTATTTTGCGTGGGGAGTGACTCGAACCCCTGACGTCCCACACAAATGTCACATTTTCCACCACTTTGGCACTTCATCTAATTTGATTATTTCTTTTAAATTTTATATTTATACCATAAATATATAACAATCTCCCACATGAAAGAAATAAGATAAATGAAAATATTACTCTTAGAGTACGGTAGAAATCATGCAGGCTTAGGTGTCTATTGACTTAAACCTTGACTTTGTATATTCTATCGAGCTTACTAACTATAGAGTGAATTATGTCTTGAACTCTACAATTATAGTTGCAAACTAAGACAATAGAATACACACATGATTTCTAGAAGAATCATTGAGTTCTCGCGGTTGTGTTCATTTCAACCGTGAACTTTTCCAGTTTCTTTGAGTGCTCTAGAGAATTCGCCTCAGTTCTCATAGGAAGCGGCCCCATTTCCACACTCAAATAGGTGCTTCTATCAAGGGTGCACTGTATCTAAATACCCCACTAAATATCAGCTATAGTAAGCATTAAGAGCATTAGCTCATCCTTTAATCAATACAGTTGGTACTACGCATCATAGGGAGGGGTTTGGAATAAATCCAATGTAGTACCCCCACAGACCACTCCAATAACTTTGTTGTCCCATTGAACCTTGACCATTGGATCTCCAATTGTAAGGTTGGGTTTCCATTATAGGTGATCTAATAAGTAATAAGCTTTGGCCCCATCCCCCTCGATGTTTGTTGAATTAGATCTCTAGCCAATCATTTGGTTAATGGGTCAGCAATATTCTCACTTGACTTCACATAGTTAATAGCTATAATTCCATCCTTAAGCAGCTGACACACAGTATTGTGCCTCCTACGAATATGTCTAAACTTTCCATTGTAGGATGAATTTTGAGCTCTTGAAATAGCTGCTTGACTGTCACAATGTATTGAAATAGTTGGAAATGGTTTAGACCACAAAGGAACATCCATAAGAAAATTCCTTAACCATTCAGCCTCCTCACCTGCCTTATCTAAAGCTATGAACTCAGATTCCATA